AGTCTGGACGCGATAAATCGAACTCAGAAGTGCTCCCCGTCGACTCCGCGTACTCCTCTCGGCGAGCAGGATTACCGGAGTCGACGGGGAGCACTTCTGAGTTCGATTTATCGCGTCCAGACTAGACGCGATAAATCGACCCCAGAAGTTCGATTGCCTGCCGCCGAACCAGCGCGGTAAGTATAGACAAGCCCTAAGTGATAAATCACCATATTAGAACATGCAGAGACCTGCCTGGCTCACTGCAAGTTGGCTTTATTTGTGTTTTAAGGTTACAATCAATGAGCCTGATTCTGCAACCCTTACTCAGGCGGGCAGTCCCATTGTGGTCAGTGGGGCTATTAATAAAGTCATGTAAGTCCTACTCAGTGTAAATAAAGGATGTAGCTTGTGTTTCTCTCAGCATCTTCCCCAGTTCCTCAGTCTCAGATATTGGTTGTCAGAGGTGGTATTTTATTTGGAAATTTTCATGAAAATATGTTTGTGTGTAGTCATGAATTATTAGCTCAGCTTTAAATTAGATGGTCTGTTACACACCTACTTATGGTTGAGATTCAAGAGATGGCATATAGTCTGGTAGGTCTCTTGGTGACTGTTGTGTATACATCAAATTAAAATAAGAAAGCTAGCTTTACTAGAAATGGCGGTAATGAATGTTTTTGCAAGGATGCTGTCGACAGCACTGATCCTGTAAAGACTTAATCACATCCTTACTTATAAACATGAGTAATGCCATCAATTCATCTGGGCCTATTCACTTCCTCAAAACTAAGCACATAAGTCTTTACAGGATTGGTATCTGTTTTACAAGTAAAACCAAAATAGTTAATATAACAAAATCCCTTTGATCTGCAATCTTGTAACCCCAAAGGGAAAAAAATATTGATTTGAATTAAGGTTTTATGCTTTTTCACTATAATTGATCAAAAATGATGACTCTGATGGATAACCTACTGATCCATTAAATACTTGAAGTTGTAGCTTTTTGGTTATTGCTTAGAGCCTCATAAGCACTTCACTCTGACAGGGTCTATGTTTTAGTGGGTCTGTGTTTATGCTACCTATGAATTATTCCTGTATATGTCAAAACAAAAAAATTCTCTTTTTCCTTGTAGGAATCCAGAAGCTTTGAAGGCACAAGAAGAAAAGGTAGGAAAAATATAGGTTTTTCCCCCCCCACACACAATTTGTTTGTCACTGTTGATTGATCTTGAGGTAGCATGTTGAAACAAACGTGAACCTACAAACTTGAAAGAGGCTACCATTGTGCAAATTTTCAAGAGCTTGCTTCATAACATTTATCTTTCAGATTTTATGAAAACTAGGGTTACCATAAGTCTGGTTTTTCCCGGACACGTCCGGCTTTTCGGCAATCAAACCCCCGTCTGGGGGGAATTGCCAAAAAGCCGAACATGTCCGGGAAAAATACCGGCCGGGCACTTCCTCTCCCGCGGCTGCTCTGCCCCCCCCCGGCCTCAGCCTCCGGCTCTGTTTAAGAGACAAGCTGCCCGAGCCAGCGCTACCGGCTTCGGGCAGCCCCTATGCCTCCGGACCCTGCGCCCCCCGGCTGGGCGCTTCCCCTCCCGGGCTCCAGCTGTGCTGGGGAAGCGCCAACCGGGGCCGCAGGGTCTGGAGGCTGCCCGGCAAAACGGTAGCACTCGGGGAGGCCTTTTTGCGGGG